GCTAGAACACTCCCTTACACCATTCACAAAAATAAACTCAAAATGGCTCAAATTCTTAAACATAAGAAAATACACTCTAAACTTCTTAGAAGAAAACATAGTCAAAACATTATTTGACATAAATTAGCAGTGTTCTCCTGGGGCAGTCTACCCAGGCAATAGAAATAAGAGCAAAAATAAACAAATAACTTATAAGCTTTTGCACAACAATGGGAGCCATAAGCAAAACAAAATGACAACCTACAGAATGGGAGAAAATATTTGCAAAAGATGAGACTGACAAGGGCTTAGCTTCCAGAATATATAAACAGCTCATACAACTTAATAATAAAAAATAAACAACCTAATCTATAAATGGGCAGAAGATCTAAATAAGCAATTCTCCAATGAAGACATACAAATGGCCAATAGACATATGAAAAAATGCTCAATGTTGCTAATTATCAGAGAAATGCAAATCCAGAGCAAAATACAATGGAATACTACTCTGCCATAACAAAGAATAAAATAATGTCATTTACAGCAACATGGGTGGACCTGGAGATTGTCATTCTACGTGAAGTAAGACAGAAAGAGAAAGAAGAATATCATATGATATCACTTCTATGTGGAATTTAAAAAAAAAATAAATGAACTTATTTACAAAACAGAAACAGACTCACAGACATAGAATCCAAACTTATGTTTACCGATGGGGGAGGTGGTGGAAAGGGGGTGGGAAGGGATAAACTGGGAGTTTGATATTTGCAGATACTAATATATAAAAAATAGATAAACAACAAGTACATACTTTATAGCACAGGGAACTATATTCAATTTCTTTAAGTAACATAGTGAAAAAGAATATGAAAACAAATATACGTATGTTCATATATGACTGTAGCATTCTGCTGTGCACCAGAAATTGACACAACATTGTCAACTGACTATACTTCAGTAAATATATATATGAGTAAAAAGCTGTCTGAAATTAATAATAATCATTTTACAAATTAATTCTGTTAGGTTCATTTGGTTTATTAGTAATGTGAGAGAAGAAAATATCATGTGTTTCTGTTTCCTTATACACATATTTCATATCTTCTCAAACCTTCAGTGCCAATCACATGTCTATGGAATCACTGTTTGTATCACAGCAAAGAATTTTTACTTAAGCTAACACATAATGTCTTTCTGAAAATATTCTTTAAGACGATTGGGATATTAAATCAGCTATCAGTAATTATCGTATTATTTCTGATTTTATTTTATTCCAACTATCTATTTCACTTGGGACAAATGGCTTTTTTTTTTTAATCCAGGCCCCATTTTCCCACCAATGAAGTGAGAATCTCAGCAACTGGTTTCTATTATTTCTCTTAGTTCTTGTAATCTGGGATACTATGAATCTGCAATTCTACATTGTCTATCTTACTCGGGAGAAATTATTTAAAAGCAAAAAAAATTTTTAATCCCTCAATTAGTTCCTTGTTATGTGATCAAAGAAGGCCCTGGGATGGGATGGATGAAAAATTTACCACCTGTTGTTATAAAACTACACGCAGTTTTGATAACTGAGCTTTTTCCTTTTTAAAAATCTTGAACCTCTTGGTGCAATCATTAAATTCAATAATGTGGTGGGGGTGGGAGAAGTGTGTGGCAATGATCAAAAGGCACAAACATCCAGTTACAAGATAAAAAATGTTCTGGAGATGTGTGTACAGCAAGGCAACTATAGTTAACAATACTTTATTGCATATTTAAAAGTTTCTAAGAGAGCAGAACTTAACCTTCTTATCACAAAAATTGTAATATGTGAGATGATGAATTGTAACTAAATTTATTGTAATCATTTTGTAATATATATATACATAATCAAATCATCATGTGTATACCTTAAATTAATACAATATTATGAATCAAGTATATCTCAATAAAACTGGAAAAATTAAAGAGAATTTATTTAATACAATAAATCCTGAGTTCTCATCACAAGGAAAATTTTTTTCTTATTTTATGTCTGTATGAAATGATGGATAATAAGTTCACTAAATGTATTATCCATCATTTCATGATATATTTAATTACAATCATTGTGCTGTATACCTTATATAGTGTTGTATGTCAATTATATGTAATTAAGCAGGAAGCAAAATTTTAAATAAGCAAGCAAAAACTCAATGACTTACTAGAAATTAGACAAAACAATCCAAATCAAGAAAAGACTCCTCCTTTGAGTCCCTTCTTTCCCAACCCTAGTGCATTTCAACCAGGAAAGCCAAGGCATGACCTGGTCATAGTGGTTAAACAATAAACGGTCTCTCCTTAAATGTTCAACAGGTTGCTGAAGAGTCGGAACGATAGCTTCATCAATCACATGTGTATATGAGTTATACTTCCCCCCCATGATTCCTGAATCTTTTCTCACCAAAGGTTCTGTTCAAGTATTTCAAGTATGCAGTATTTTTAGTGGATGAAAGGACCTCCAAGTTGGCAAACCCACCAAAAGTGTGGACAAGCCCCCACCAAGACATGTGGGTCCTTGCCTGCCTACTGAGAAAGAATTCTCAGTAGAGGCAGAGGGACAAAGTGAAAAAAGACTTGCTTTTATAGCTGAGAGAGAGAAGAAAAGTAAATATTTGAGAGGGGAGCCATCAGCCAGGTAGCTGATCAAGACATTTCTAGCCCCTAATGGGGCCTTGGGGTTTTTTATTGGATGTCTCTTCCATTGTTACATTCATTCCATTGGTGCCAATCATCTTCTAATATTGGCTCTTTTCTCCCAAGGACCTTGGCCCTAAAACAGAAAGATAAAGAGATACTAGAGTATGTCCTTGGAGTTAATGCATCAATTGTGGAACATAAATTGTCCTGTTGTAGGACTATGTCCTTGGAATTAAGGAGCCAGCTGTGGGGTAAGAGAAACGACCTGCCTTTCATCAGTCTGGCACTGTCTTTCCCTTGTTAATCAGCCAGGGTCAGTAAGCCTGCCTGGTCTCCTTTCCCAATTTGCCCCTGAGAGATTTCATGCTCAAGAATTTTGGTGGGGGAGTGGATGGAGGTCTCTACCTTCCATAGCTTCTCCTGGCTGCACAGGGGCATAGGCCTGTACTGGAGTACAAGTCTTCCTCTCTCTTGTCTAACTCTCAATAATCTGACCTTGGGGTAGGCTTCCAGCCATGCAGCAGAAGAATCTTATTTTGAAATTGCTGGGGACAATTTGAAATAAAGCAGGAAAGTTCTTGAATTAAGAACAGTCCAAAAAGCAAGGCTAACAAGATAATTATGGCAGGGCCTGAGAAGGGCAACAGCCAAAGCAAGACACTGGGCATTTGCCAGCTCAGGACATCACTCCATTTTCTGATGCTCTCTGCCTGTTCTAATAGACCTC